ATAGTATTATGAATGGATGTTTAGTCGTTTATAAGACGTTTGAGCTCTCATATTTCTTACACCATTCTCTTGATTCAAGAGTCTTTCTCTTCTTATCCCCCGAGCATTTCGGTCCCTCATGATTCGACTTCACTTTATGTAGTTTTAGTATAGTAAGGTGGGCGCTGAAACGCTGCATGAATCTTTCTTAGAAAGATTCAGCGACGAAGTTCTGCCCCTACAGAGCCCGACTCCTAGCTAAAACCCCATTGTAAGTAAGTTATCTTTACCCTATTTTAATATAGTTTATATTTAAAATTAGTATTGTTATTATGAACTTATAATAAATAAATGAGCTATTATTATATAAGTATCGTTATAATATATTTTTAACTACTCGCGGTACGAAGAATCTGGTTTAAAGGGCTGCATAGGGTTTTTGGATTTCAGAAGTGCTATATGCCAAAATTGTCCTGCCGTCCGGTGTTTTATGTCTGGCCCATGTTTGTACATAATGGTTAGAAAGTATTGTTTAAACGCTTATATAATAATAATAATACTAATAATTAGTCAAGGTAAATATTAGACTAAAATCTAGTGGTAATAATATTAGGTTTCGTCGAAGGAAATTATTTTAAAGTAAACGAAGCGTTGTCCGAGTACCGAGTCACCACCTTATCAAGTGAGTGCATGGTCCCTTTCATCTTACACATAGATATGAAGTATTTTATATAAACTACGTGTTATGTGTGCATATTATTTGTATAATTGTTATCTATGCTGGATGAACGATGTTATACAAGTTTTATATGATTTAAAACTGTATATGTATTTATATCTACATAATATGTTAGGTAAAACATGGGTAGACGAAATATGAGGTGGATGATGAGTTGAGAGGTGATATAGACCATGAGGTAAGGGTGAGAGGTAGACGATGTAAGAAGCCTTGTTCCCAAGTGATGGCTCCGTCATCTAGCAGATTATGGATGGCAACCACAGACTATTCTAGACAGTCCAGTGGAACACTAGTAGACTCGCAACCTGTAGGTGTTGTTAACGATGTGTTCACCCGGTGTACTCTAAACCTTGGCGATCATGTCGACTTGATGCCTAAACCCTGGTGACTATGCAGAATTAGTGCCTAAACCTTGGCGATCATGCATACTTGATGCCTAAACCCTGGTGACCATGTAGACTTGGTGCCTAATCCCTGGTGACTATGCAGACTTAGTGCCTATTGTGTAAACTGTGGCAACGATGGACTTCGTGCCGATTCCTCAGGATAATCCTTAGGAATAAATGAACAAGGAATAACTGATTCTTAGGATAGAACCTTAAGAGTAAAGAAAATAATATGGATGGGTAATTGGGTTGATTGTTTGATGTTTAAACATAACAATTACATTATTGTGGGTTGAAAACCCTATGTACTCACCAGGTTTCCCAACCTGACCCACTCAGTTTATTTATATCACAGGTGTTGATATGAAGTCACATTACAATGAGAGATTAAGGAGATATAAATCACTAGTGATAATGAATGTAAGTTCTGTTTATGCTTATGTTTCTGTACTGACGATGACATCCCAAATGTTTTAAAATGAATAAAAATACTTTTCTTCGGAAATGATTTGGTAACGTATTTATCATGTTTTACTGGGAACAAATTCCGCAACTTTTTTTTTATTAAAAGAGGTACTCTGATTTTTATAAAGCATAAACAAAATCGGTCTTTTCTGACCGTGAAAATGGGGATGTCACAGTTGGTATCAGAGCATTAGTTAAAGTGAATTAGGAATATGGATTTATTTCTAGACTTAAACTTAGAATGTTAAGCAATGATTGTGAGGAGTGTCTCTTAGGTAATACACCTGAAGAGACACAAACACTAGCTTATTTAGGGAAAATGTCTAACATGCTTTTATGTGCTAAATGATTTATGATATGCCTTGTATGATCGGATCTATGGTCTATTGACCGGATCTGGAAACTTTATGTGTTCATATTTCTTAATGTTTAATTACGGTGTTAGAACTAGCATGTAACTTTTCAAAGTAATAAGGAGGAATACGCGTCTAAATCTTCCTCTATCTATACTCTCGTCTCGATACACTGAACGCCTGCTTTGGTGTGCATAACATCATGGTGAAGACTCGTAGTGAATTGAGTGAATGGAGTAAATGAGAAGGCTTACCATAATGAATGGTACCTATCAGAAGATATCGTAAGAGTGATATCATGCCTTTAGAACGCGTTTAATAAATAATATGTCTAGTACGGGAGAAGTACATGTTCAATTAGTAGAAAGAAAGATTTTTGGTATAATCCATGGGAGTTATCTCATCGTCTGACGTTTCCATCACTAACAGAGTGAAGCAAAATTGATGATTGAAGATACACATGGAAGAAGTCCTAGTAGAGTCTATGGAAAATTATATGATTGTTTGGACACATTTGTATGTGTTAAAATTGTTTATGTGATAATGACTTGGAAAACTGCGAGATAATACTTGGGACGAGTATGAGTAGGTGTGAAACAGTGAAAGGTAGTAGAGACCTATACTACCGGAAGCACAGGACTCACGCTTGGATCAGGGAAAGTCACAAGGTTACCAAGAAGCTAGTAATTGATACTGTTTTATTCAAATATGTCGTTACCATCATTTCGGTAATAACTAAGAAGATGATTGTTATTCCGACCCGAGTGGTCATATCGAATTAAGTCCGACTACGATGAGTATGTTATATGGTTTAGATAACCAAGTTTGATGTAACATCTGACTTAAGCCGGAAGATTGAAATAAAAGATAATCAAAGCGATCGGTAGAGGTATCGCGATAGTTGCTTGTAGCTAGAAATGCTACCTTTAAGATGAGATTAGAACATGAAGGAAATACTAGTCTGCTCTAGAAGACTCTAAGAGACCTGAGTCTAAGCATTACAACATACGATGAGTCGATGATAGATCATTAGAATATGACTAGGGATGAGCAAAAGGATCGGACCGGCCGGAACCGACCCGAACCTGACAGGAACCGGGAACCGGCTTCGACCAAAGTTTAGAACCAAACCGGCCCGACGGTTCTACCGGTTCCGGTTTTTGCCGGTTTTTCGATTTCGAAACCGGTATATTATGAACATTCCAAATTTTTTATTCTAATAATGTTTTTGAAAATCATGGGCGGGGATTTTTCTCCCTACATGGCTGCATGCAATTGGGAAAATTGTTACATGTATAAAAATTATCGTTAAATACATAAAGTATTGAATATTCTTTAATCCTCGCAAACTATATATTGTTATCTATTCTATTACATATTTACATGTTATGACACATTAGGAAGATAATTGTGTAGTTGCTTTACAATAGATTTCTAATTGTTTTTGCTAGTAAGCCTCAAATTAGATGCCGTAATGTTCTTCTGTACTTTTTCCTTTTAAGACAAGTAGACAACAATGTATTAAATTTGATTGTGAAGTTGGGGTTGCTTTAATCTTTTCTTTTAAGACAATAATGTTTAAGACCTCTTAAACTTGATTTCTATTTAGTAAAATTATTTCAACATTTTAACCTTCAAAACCAGTCTTACTAAAAAAAATCAAAAACCAAAAAAGTCAAAAATTGGTCTTACTAAACTGGTCTTACTAAAGTCCAAAGACCAAAAGAAGTTCAAGCGACATGAGTTTTTTGTATCCGGCTTGGTTCCCGGTTTTGCGCTGGTTCCAACAACCGGTTCTTATCGGGTCCTGGTTTCAAATATTCACGAAATTATAGTATAGGTCCCGGTCCGACCGGTTCTATCGGGTGCAGGTTCCTCGGTCCTTTTGTTCATCCCTACACAATAAAAATGTGTTCATAATCGAACTATATAACTTGAAAAAGATTGTGATAATGTGTACCTTTATCGAAAATCCAAGTTTCGCAAATGATATCAATGGATAATGGTTACAAAATAGAAGTGGTCATCTAACATGTTAAAGATATCAGATCTTGTATTCGGTCTTTGGTGCTATCATCATTTTATTCAGAATAAATTATGTCGATTTTTCATTTGAATATTTAATATTTTAATTTATCAAATATTCGATCAACCTTACACAGCCAGAAAGTCGTTGAGGGGATATGATATACAATTTGTCTTTTAAGGAAGTCGTCCTTCTACCCATGTGCAACAAATGGGGTCTTGTTTTAAAAACGAGATACAACAGAGCATCTTGTTTTCGTATTAATAATCAATAAATTTTATATATCATTTCATAAAGTTATTTATTTTCTAACATAACAATTATACAATAAAATCCGAAATTTAAAATGTTACATTAATCGAGTTTGAGCTTATCCTAAGATTGTTGAGTTGAGCTCAGGCTTATCTCAAATGTTCAAGGATTTTGATTATCAGAGTTTACGACCAAATACTTTATATAAAAAAGATAAACAATATCCTCTTAATGGTCCATCCCACTTGATCACATTACACTGATAGTAAATCATGAATCATTAACAAGACTTTGATCGTGCAAGATTTAAACACTAAATCTTATTTATTGAACTTTAGACCTCATTTGTTAATTAAAATGTTAAACATCAGAAAAGAAAATACTTATAGAATTAAAATGTTACACAACCATGAGGTGATGCCATTAAAATCATATAATTCTAAAATAGATATTTGATTTAACAAAATTTAACTCAAATTTTATTTTCTTAATCATATTCCATCATTGTTTTAATGGGAAATTCTATACCTACCTCCAAATTGTTTTGTAATAATGTATATGCATCCAACATGATTTGTTTGACCATCATTGTTTTAATGGGAAATTATATACCTACCTCCAAATTGTTTTGTAATAATGTATATGCATCCATGATTTGTTTGATGATTTACGTGAGCAAGAATAATATAATAACACCCTATTTAAAATCAATATTTTATATTTTTGAAAAACTATTATTTTATAATTAAAAACAATAATTTAGTTGTTTTTAACAACATAATTTATTAATATTTTTTATCAACATGATCATTTTATTCCTGTCATACACTCATAGTAATGCCTAATGATGAAATAGTATTCATCATAGAACTGGCGTCTGTGCAATTTTCTACTGAAGCAGATATGGAATCAAAAAGGAGGAAAAAAACAGTGAACGCATGTTTTCATGCACACTGATTGAGAAGACGACGACGTCTGTTGGAGTAAAAAATCGGTGAAAACTTGTTTTCTCCATGCTCAGACGATTGACATGATGGCTATGAATGTTATTCATCCAGTTGTTCTTATCTAACAAGACGATAGCCGAAGCGGCGTGCAAATGAGACCTAATTGGAAGAAGCCAAAAACTTGGGGAAAATTCTGACATGTCTGATAGGGGAAGAATGATGCTGTCATCGATTCGTCATTTTCCTTTTGGAATTTATCTGTAGGTGTCTTTCCTACGACCATGAATTTTTGACATGATACATGCGTAATGTATTTGTCTTCTTCTAGGCCGAACTTGCTAAATCAATTCACCACATGAGTACCTGATCATGTGCTACTTCTACTAATCGAACGTGAGGTTCATATATTTGTGCTACTAGTGGTGGTGGTGGTTGTCAATGGCGGATTGAAATTTGAAGAAATTTTTGGATCGGAGATATTCAATGGCTCCTATGAGAATTTTACTTGGTACCTTCATCTTCGCTTTCCGTTTTTTTACTATGTTTAATTTCACTAACCAGCATCAATTGTTTATGGAAATAATTGTGATGTCTTGATTGTGTTTGTTTATATGACTTGCGATTTTCATTGCGTGTTTTACCTACATCCACACATAAACATCCAAAATTTATGCAATTCAACTCTGCTGATTAATCTATATGAATATTCATTAAGATTTGATTAATTTCCTTGCGTGTAGATTGTCACCTCATTACCATAATTTCTAACATTGTTCATGCAGCTGCTAACTATTAGTTTATGGACAGGGGGTGATTTTGATTTGCTTTCACTAGCCACACAAATAAGTATTTCAGACATCTTCAACTTGGCGTTTGTCTTTATCTTCTACCTTTTGCTACTCGTAAGTTATCTTAGGAAAAGTAACACCAACAGATCCAGGGGAAGAAGTGATTGGATATCACTCTCAGTTGCATTTTGTTGTTTTCTTACTTGTATTGCATATGCTATTGCTGGTTTATGGGAGGCAACTGCTAAAACCCCTCAATGGAGTTGGTGGGTTTTGATTGCTAGAGCTTTTGTTTGGGTATCTTTGATGGTTTCATTGCTTGTAGAAAGATTCACACCAGTGAAGATTCTGGCTTCTGTTTGGTGGGTTATCTTTTTCATGTCAATTTCTGTTGTGAACATCATGTGTTTGGCAGATAAACAGAGCATAAGCATCTTGGTTTTGATGGAATGGGTTGCTAGCTTCTTGCTTTTTTTATGTACTTTAAGAAACATAAAACACTTTGTCAACCAACAAACCTCAAACCAGACGTTATCAGAGCCCTTATTGGTTAATGCAACACAGGAAGAAGGGCATACAAGCCAACTGGAAGAGCCAAGTTTTCTTAGTAAATTGGTATTTTCTTGGGTGAACCCATTGCTTGCATTAGGTTATAGAAAACCATTAGTTCTTGAAGATATTCCATCTCTAGCATCCGTAGACCAATCATCCACAGCCCATGAGAAATTCACCAAGGCATGGGATTCACTTCAGAGGGAAAAGACCACAAACAATGGTAACTTGGTTCCTAAATCATTAGCCAAAGTTTATTTCCTAGAGATGGTTTTATCAGGACTTTGTATCTTTCTTAGGACTCTATCTGTTGTCATTAGCCCATTGTTACTCTACGCCTTTGTTGACTACTCCAAAAGTGACACACAAGATCTACATCATGGACTCTTGTTAGTAGGGTGTTTGATTGTAGTAAAGGTAGTAGAGTCATTAACTCACCGACAGTTTTTCTTTAATGCAAGAAGAACTGGCATGAGGATGAGATCTGCTTTAATGGTGGCAGTCTATGAGAAGCAACTCAAGCTTTCTGTTCTAGGAAGGAGAAGGCATTCAACTGGTGAAGTTGTAAATTACATAGCAGTTGATGCATACAGAATGGGTGAATTTCCTATGTGGTTTCATATAGGGTGGTCATGTTTCCTCCAACTGTTTCTTGCTATTGGTGTCTTGTTCTCTGTAGTAGGGGTAGGTGTTCTTCCTGGTTTAGTACCCCTTTTAATATGCGGGCTTCTTAATATTCCATTTGCAAAAGCTATTCAAAACAGTCAGTTGGAGCTTATGGTAGCTCAGGATAAAAGATTGAGATCCACTTCTGAGATCTTAAACAACATGAAGGTCATAAAGTTACAATCTTGGGAAGAAAAATTCAAGAAATTAATCGAATCTTGTAGAGAAACTGAATTCCATTGGCTTAGAGATATTCAATTCAAGAAAGCATATGGCACGGTTTTGTATTGGATGTCACCAACACTCGTTTCTTCATTTGTGTTTTTTGGATGCGTGCTTTTGAAGAGTGCTCCTTTAGATGCTGCCACTATTTTTACAATTTTGGCAGCATTAAGGAGTATGGCGGAGCCCGCAAGGGTTTTCCCTGATGCACTTTCTGCATTAATCCAGGTCAAAGTATCCCTTGACCGGATCAATTCTTTCTTAGTTGATGATGAACTAAAAGATAACAGAATGGAAAGAGACCAAGAACTTGAAAGTTCCCATGATGATGCTATCAGAATCCAGAATGGGAATTTCACTTGGGACCCGGAATCACCCATTCCAACTCTTCAAAATGTAAATCTTGAAGTGAAGCATGGGCAAAAAGTTGCAGTTTGTGGGTCAGTTGGTGCTGGAAAGTCATCTTTGCTATATGCTATACTTGGAGAAATATCTAAAACTTCAGGAACAGTAAGTTCACTTAATTTTTTTTTATAATGTCATTGTAATTTTATATGAAGTTGAGTTTTGTTTTTTGTTTTTGTTTTTTTTTTTTTTTTTTGGTTTTCCAGGTGGGTGTATCTGGTTCAATTGCGTATGTTAGTCAAACATCTTGGATTCAAAGTGGGACAATTCAAGATAACATATTGTATGGGAAGCCGATGGAGAGAAGTAAATATGAAAAGTCCATAAAGGCGTGTGCTTTGGATAAGGATATTGAAGCTTTTGACCATGGAGATTTAACAGAAATAGGACAAAGAGGGCTTAACATGAGTGGTGGACAGAAACAGAGGATTCAACTTGCTCGAGCAGTTTACAATGATGCTGACATCTATCTTCTTGATGACCCTTTCAGTGCTGTAGATGCACATACATCAGCAACTCTCTTTAATGTAATTTTTCAACTTGTTAATTTAAATCAGATTGGTGTTATTAGTTTTTCCTGTCTAGCTACTCTCTTAATCTTTGGATATTAAACTTCTGCTTCAGGATTGTGTTATGACCTGTTTAAAGAAGAAAACCGTCATTCTTGTCACTCATCAAGTGGAGTTTCTCTCATCTGTTGACAATATTCTGGTAATCAGAATAAAAAGTCTATAAATTTAGTTACACACGATGGCTTTATATAATTATATCGTTTTTTTTAAGTCTATTTTACCATTTGATTTTTCTTTCCCTTTTAAGGTTATGAAAGATGGTCAAGTTACACAATCAGGAAACTATGAGGAGCTGTTGATGGCAGGAACAGCATTTGAACAGCTTGTGAATGCTCATAAAGATGCCATTACAGGTTTAGAGCCTTCGCCTTCTGAAAACAAAAATGAAGTACTAAAACCAGGCATGGAGAATAGTGATAATAAAAGTTATCTCAGTAAAGGAAACAGTGAAGGGCAATTGGTAACAGGAGTGCAGTTGACTGAAGAGGAAGAGAAGGAGATTGGAAATGTTGGATGGAAGCCTTTCTTAGATTACATTGTCATCTCAAAAGGATTATGGCTTTTGTCTTTGTGTGTATTAAGTCAGTCCAGTTTTGTTGTTCTTCAAGCAGCAGCAAGTTATTGGCTAGCATTTGGTATTCAAATCCCTAAAATCAGTAACATCATGTTGATTGTTGTTTACACTTTGCTCTCAACCACTAGCACCTTTTTTGTGTATTTGAGATCACTGCTTGCTGCCCTTTTGGGATTAAAAGCCTCCAAATCATTCTTTACTAAATTTACCAATTCGATTACACGTGCTCCCATGGTCTTCTTTGATTCTACTCCAGTTGGACGAATTCTTACAAGGGTAAGACTTATTTGGTAACTAATTAAAGTTTAATTAATTATTTTTCCACCCTTTTGGTAACATATTTACTATCTTCTGTCAGGCCTCATCTGATCAAAGTGTGATTGATTTTGACATACCCTTTGCGTTTGTGTATTCGCTTGCTGCTGGTATTGAACTACTTGGTATGATTGTCATTATGGCCTCAGTGACATGGCAAGTTCTTATTGTAGCCATCTTCGGTATCGTGGCTTCAAAATACGTTCAGGTGAGTACTTTATATCTTTTTTTTTATCATATAAAAGCTCAAGTCTTTGTTAACACGAGTATATCTATCTTGTTGAGAATCACAGGGATATTATCAGCCAGCTGCAAGGGAACTAATGAGAATCAATGGAACCACAAAAGCACCTGTGATGAACTACGCATCTGAAACGTCACTTGGAGTGGCAACAATACGAGCATTCAAGATGCAAGACAGGTTCTTTAAGGATTACATGAGGCTAGTGGATACAGATGCAAATAGTTTCATTTTCTCAAATGCAACATTGGAATGGTTGGTTTTGAGAATAGAAGCTCTTTCGAACCTCACCTTGTTCACTGCTAGTTTTCTCCTGGTTTTCATACCAAAGGGTTTTGTGCCTCCAGGTATATATATTCATTTGAAGATATATATATTAACTGAATAGTTGAATTAATGTTTAATTATATATAGGTTTGGTTGGGCTATCTCTTTCTTATGCAATGACATTGACGGGTACCCAAGTGTTCTTGACTAGATGGTATTGTAGCTTGGCCAATTATGTGATTTCAGTAGAACGGATCAAACAGTTTATGAACATTCCATCAGAGCCACCAGCAGTTGTGGAGAACAATAGACCACCCTCATCTTGGCCTTCCAAGGGAAGGATACAATTCCAGGATCTAAAGGTAAAAAAACTTGTTTTAATTAGTTAATCATGTACATGATTCGTCTATTATTCCATGATCTAGATGTTTTTTAAAATGTTTAATTTGTGGTTTCAGTTGAGGTATCGTCCAAACGCACCACTAGTACTGAAAGGTATCAGCTGCACATTTGAAGAAGGGAAAAGAGTAGGCATTGTTGGAAGGACAGGAAGCGGGAAGACAACACTGATAACAGCCTTATTCCGTTTGGTTGAAGCTGATAGTGGTCGCATCCTTATTGATGGATTTGACATTTCCGCAATTGGCCTTAAAGATCTCAGGATGAAACTCAGTGTCATCCCCCAAGAACCAACCCTTTTTAAGGGCAGCATCCGAACAAACCTTGACCCTCTAGGACTTCATTCTGATCATGACATATGGAAGGTAATTAACCAAATCATCTATGATCAATCTATATAATCTTTATTTGTTTTGTTTTGTATTCAATCATATTCATGCTTATTAATCTAATGGATTAATTTCCAGGCATTAGACAAGTGTCAGCTTAAAACTACCATCATGAATCTTCCACATTTGCTGGATTCCTCAGGTGTATATGTGGACCTTAATCATGCCAACCAAATCTATTACAAAAATTAAGAGTTTAAGCTAGTGATTGTGTTTTTGGTAAATCAAAACTTATCATGTTTGTTTGACACAGTGAGTGATGAAGGAGAGAACTGGAGTGCTGGGCAAAGACAACTGTTTTGTCTTGGAAGAGTTTTACTCAGAAGAAACAAAATCCTGGTGCTGGATGAAGCCACTGCATCCATTGATTCAGCCACAGACGCGATTTTACAGAAAATTATTAGGGAAGAATTCTCCACTTGCACTGTTATAACTGTCGCTCACAGGGTTCCAACAGTCATAGACAGTGACAAGGTCATGGTCCTCTCATTCGGTATGTATGCTGTGTGGGCCCCTCTTTTCTATTTCTACACTATATATGCATATGTTAAAATGAAATAAATAACTAATTAATTGAGGTTGTTGATGTTTAGGGAAATTGGTGGAGTATGATGAGCCTTGGAAGCTACTGGAGACTACTGAATCTTTCTTCTCCAAGCTTGTAGCTGAATACTGGTCCAGTTGCACAGCAAGGAACTCTGCGTAAATAATTAATCAGATGGTTGGTGTGGGTGTTACAAGTGTAGCCTAGTCTATTAGTAGGAAATTTGTGCTCAGTTTTATATATATTAATATTAATTTGTGGCTCAAACTCAAATAATTATATCATCATAATAATAGTGTTTTAGCTCGAACCTGATATTGTTTTAATAGATTACATTTGTAATAGTAAATTACAGAAATGGTTCCTCACCCCCTTCCCCCCGCCTACCTACTCCAATCACTGATCCTCTTCTTTGTTGAAAACATGTTTTGTTCCCTGGTTTGCTGAAAACAAACAAAATGGAACTGAAGAGTACTGGGGGTCTTCTTTGTAAACCATTTGAAATCATCCAAGGAAGAGAAAGAAGACGTGTATTCCGGTGTAAGCAATTGATGTAGCCTGATTAGCATCATCATTTTACAACTATCAATTTTTTTTTCTTTTTACTTTTAGAAATTATAAACCAATAAAAGAAACTAGAAATGGTTAGAACGTCATTTTACATTAGACTAAAAAGAAGTAAGTTTCTTTTATCAACCATAAGGACCATTTATATATAAAGGACTGAATCATTACAAAAAGAAGTAAGTTTCTTTTATCAACCATAAGGACCATTTATATATGAGCTTATATAACCTAGATTGGCTTCACTTGTCTTGAAAATCTTAAAAACAAATTTTCCAATGATTTGAGTCGAACATAGTGAAATAAAGCTTCGCTAAAGTTAAAAAAAAAGTTGAGATACTAAATTGTGAAAGTGGTAAAAATCCGTTGTATTAGTTGAAGTTTTGGAATTTCTGAAAGGATTTGTGTTATGTAAATTACATAAATAAAACCAACTTGCATTGTAAATTTAATGGAAAAAAAAAAAAAAAAAAAAAAAAAAAAATCAGAGGCCATGGAGTGGGATCAACAAATTAAAGGAATCACATTCCTTATGAACTGGTTCATTAATTGTATTCCAAATGATTGGACAATCAACTTTTCTAACTTTCTTATACCGATGAATGTATCATTCCCTTCTTTCTCCTATTCCTTGCTGCCACACTTGATCATGAAATGGAATAAATCGTTCATTCCATTAACTTGCTTGTTTATTCTATTACCATGTTTTTACACAGAAAGAATTGTGAAAAGAAGGATATCTTATTATCTTTGATTAATCAAAAATGTATCTGTCACATCACTTTATATACAAGCAGTAAAAAGACATTGTAATAACAACGAACTAAACAACTCATCTAACAGATTATAACCGACTATATTTGCCGTTTATATAAGATAATTACAGAAATGCCCTTGTTCATACTCTAATACATGTCCATTATATTCCTTCGTCATTGCATACCTCACTTGTTTGTCTCGAAATTGAGATGTAAAATAAGAAAGACTGAAAAGCTTAATTATTTTCTCATTCAAATCACATATATAATATAGGCATATATGAGTAAATAGAACAAATACTATAAAGGAACACCATCTCTCACTACTAGAAACAAGAGTTTCAGCGACAGACCAATCCGTCGCTAATCTGTTGCTAATGATTGTTTGCGACAGATCAGCAACACACAAACTCCTTAGCTAATTTAAACATGGCTAATGTGCCAGCCAGGGATTTTGAGACAGATTGGTTTTTCCTTGCGACGATTTAACGACAGATTATCTATCGCAAATGGTTACTCATTACACTTATTTAGGACATCTAGCGACAAAACTTAGTAACAATATTCCGTCACGGATCCCTCTCAGATCTCCATATTTGTTTTGTAGTCCGTTGCTGATCCGTCGCAAATGTATGATATCAGATTTTTGTGATCCATCATTGATCCCTCGCAAATGCATGATACAATTTTTTTTAGTCCATTGTTGAACCCTTGAAAATTTAATAACAAAATAAGACTTTTTTTTTTTTTTTTATTACCAATATAAAACAAAAATACCAAAAAAACATCAAATAAATTATACAATCCCAAAACAAACATTAATATTTAAATACAAAAAACATAAATAAATATACACTAAAAACCCAACCATTAACCTAAAAATACCAAAAGAATCAACTATCAAATTTTACCAAAAAATCCTAAAAAATCAAATATCAAAGTTTAACATTAACCTATATTTGATTTCAAAGTACCATAATTCTTAACTCCCCTGATGTACGGCATCTATTGTTGCAATTTTTGTATCCATTTCCACAACTTTCACATTTGTTGATGTTTAGCCTCAATTTCTACATCGTTAATATCGATCTCCCCACATATTTCTTTTGTTCACACACAACCAACAATTGAAACATGAATATAAGATGTTAGATAGATTTTGTTAGTAGAATGTCATGATAGGAAAAACTATAAAGTACAATGTTACGAAAGTAGGATACTTTAATAGACAAATTTAAACAAACCTCTTAGGACATTATTGTACTAGATGTGAATCCAAATATTCTTCCATAAACCTCCTATTATAGAAAAAGTAAACATGAAATAAATAGATTAAGAAACACAAAAGTAGGATGTTATAAATAAAATGTTAGAACAATTATAATAACAAATATTAAAAAACAATTAAATAAAAATTATTATAATAAAATACAAATAAAAATATGATTTTACCGGTTTGACTGCAACCTCGCCTCCTTACTACTGAAGATGCTGACCTGGCATCATCAAAATTCATTCCAAACTGCATATATTAATAACTAGGTTAAAATCCGTGGGAACCACGGGAAAAAAAGAAAAATATTATTGATAATTTAAAATGATAATAAAAAATCAAAAATTTAAATTTTTTTATTAAATTACAACAATATAAGCCTTATATATAAGTTTATAATGATTAGTTAAACTTAATATATATTATTTTGAATAGTGTCTTTTCAATATCTAATATACATTCCGTATGTATTGAGTTTTAATAAAATTATGATTTTTGTACAATGCAATATAAGTTTGAATAAAATATAAAAAACACAATTAATCATGAAAATAATATTTATATATATATATATATATATATATATATATATATATATATATATATATATATAGTAAACATTCTTAAAGTAGAAAATCAACTCTAAGATCCGACAAAGAGCATACATTTTGTCTTGATTAACTTCCATTTTCTTTCTCTTTGATTCCATCTGTTTACTACAAAAATCTTTCTAATCAGAAAAATTAACATAAAAAAAATATAAAATTTGCTGCTATAATAGCCGCACAAGTGCATAACTATTCACTTACAACAAAATTACTTTCATTTCTTGCACTCAACCCTTACACAAACCTAGGAAACGACATTGTACTTTCTTGCATTTGATCTTTTCAAAATTATATTGCATTTTCATTACTTTGAACAGTTTACCATTATTAATCTAATTAAAGAAATAACATTATACTTTCGTTCCATTGATAACTTTAGCATCCTACTTCAGTTTTTGTCACACCAACTCTAGTGCTTATAAAATACCAATTATACATTTATACCCTTCATTTTTCGAATTAAGTTGGCAAAGGAAAGAGACCAACCCCATCAACTCCTTATCTGTGAATATAACACTTTCCAATAGAATTTTTCAAAAAAAGACCAAAAAGCCCTTCCTTAGTAAACCAATCCAACCACCTGATAAAATTGCCATTTTTTGACATAAATTAAAAATAAAATATTTACTCCTAAAGCCCTTCAACTCTTTATCAAAAAATTTGTAAGTATTCCTTTCCACCAAATGTAGTATTTGTAAAATACCACATGTAACCTTCCATATTCAACGTTTTTTGATAGTGAAACTGATCAGGAGGCATTCATCAAGTTCCTTTTTTTCCCTTTTTATATCCATAAGCCACACACTTGGATTTCATTAATGCTTAACTATTAATTCACACTTTTTATCAACCAAAGTCATTATTGGCAGAAAGGTTGACTGCAAGCTTGTTCTTGAAGGTATCAAAAGGACCTTCAACTATCATCTTCACATCATAGTTTCCATCACAGTATCATGATCTGTAGCATAATGGTTCAACCAATAACATCAAAATTTGAAGTATTAACTCAAAAGAACATGTAAATGCGGATGTTTAAAGGGGCTCTCTTTTCCATAACTTTTTTATTAAGATAAAAAACTAAAATAAAATTGCAAGACTAAATTATCATGGTATTCTAGGTTAAAAAGAAACACCAAATGAGACAAATATAACATTTTGTGATACCACACACATCAAAGTTTTTCATTTGGGCAAATCATCGAACAGTTGTCCTGCATTATGAAATATAACTATAACTTACAAACAAAGAGGGATGATGCTATCTTGCCAATAGTCGACCCTACAGATTAAAACTCATGATTCATCAAATAAAGCCTAAGTCTAATAGAGGCTTAGCATATTGATTGACCAAACCGAATTTACAAGAACATAAAACAAAAATCAAAACAAAAACATCAAATAAATATGCCATAATGGAACATGAATTAGGAAAAATCAAAGATGAACATCTTCCTTTAAAAAAAAAAAAAAACACAGAATCGTATCATTTTACCTTTCACGTCATTTCTCTTAATCTCAAGTTCAATATATAGTGTAGAATATTTTCAAGCGAGATAAGCATCGGAGAGAGGGTAACTGTAAGAAGAGGATGTGATATCGTGGATCAGGGAAGAAAAAAGAGACGGTTGTCGATTGTACCCAGATTTGGGGATGGTACCAGTTTCATATTTCAAAATTTGAATATCCTATCAATGTTAGAATTTAGGGAGTGTTGGCTTAACTTTTAAATTTTATGGAGCAAAATTAGAATTTAGGGAGTGTTGGCTTAACTTTTTAATTTTATGGAGCAAAAGTCCTTTTTGTAAAAGGATTTTTTGTAAAACAACTTTTTACAAAAGTTATTTTTTAAAATGTGTTTGGATTGATTTTTGAACGGAAAAAATCAAAAATTAAAGTGCTGGTTTAAGTTTTACATGTAAAATGATAAAAAAAGACATATTTAGGGTAGATGAGGGGTATATTGAAAATTTAATATTTTTAGTTGGTGAAAAGTTGTGAAAAGTTGGGAAAAGTCAGGTAATCCTGACTTTTCAAAAAGACTCAAATTACTCTATGTGAAAAGTCATTTACAAAAGTCATTTTCCCTTTGCCAAACATCTTTTGAGACTTTTTCTAAAAGATAAAGTCAAAAGTCATTTAAAAAGTTATGCCAAACACCCTCTTAGGAAGCGAGATTTTAGAAGAAAGAA